TTAAGGTCAAAAATAACTATAGTTAAAGTTAAAAATTCATACATTTTAAATGATCTAAGCTACGTTAAAAGTTATTAACTTTTAACTAATTAACTAGTTATTACCCAACCCTGTGTACACTGAAAAAAAGTTTGTTAAATGAACAAATATTTAGTTCAATTCGTTCAAATAAATAATTTATTTGAAACAAATAAATATGTATTTGTTTCAAATAAATGATTCATTTGAACGTATTGAACTAAATATTTGTTAATTTAACAAATTTTTTTCAATGTACATATAATATAATATGAAAAGTATAAAATATCTCTACTGCGTTTTTCCATCCACGCGATTACGATTGTGAATAAATTACGCTGAATAATATTAGATTCGTTAAACTCGCCGTGAGATAAGCTACAACGTTTTACTATAAAATTTGACTCGATTACATTACACGATACAGATATGATCTTGTATGTATATCAATTTTGCATACCGACCGCCTCGTCGATCAATCCATCGCGATTCGACGATGCGGCTTGATTGCTTGGTTAGTGGCGCGACAAATATGGAATATAGATTGCAATCTCTCGTCGATCCCCGAGAGGCAAATGCCGTAAAATCGGAGGATAATCATATCCTATCCTTTTTTCCACGGTCTTTCGTTACACGGTTGATATTCCGATGCGCAGTTATTCCGAAGCGTTGACATGAATATGTAATAACGACGGAACAGTAAGGCACGATATAACGAAGAAATTACCCGCGACCCATTCCATTATTTCCATACGAATTGAATGTGTTAGGAAAAAAACAGAAATATCATATCGAAACTAATATAACATCTCTTGTTTTAGAGTTTCTACACGAAAAAAAATTAGCTGTCATAATTACATTTTTGCTGCCTCTATATTACACATGAAATTTATAGTTATATATAGTTAGTATTTTAAATTTTTAGTTATAGGTGCACGGAAAAAAATTATATAGCTGTAGTTAAATTTTAATTGTCCCCATATTACAACCTGAAATTTAGTTATTGTGCCTAAATTTTAACTGTGATAGCTGATATTTTTTAGCTTTAGAAACTATAGCTAAAAAATATTAGTTACCATATAGCTAAAATTTAGACATAACTAAATTTCAGGTTGTAATATAAGGACAATTAAAATTTAACTATGACGATTAATTTTTTCGGTGCACCTATATTGAAGCATTGCTTTTTATCAGATTATATCACAATTTTGATAATCTCAAACTTTCCACACAATAAACGATCTTTGTTAAAAAAATGTTTTTCATCTCTGAATATCATTATTGTTTTTTTTATAAGTTATAAACGTATTATTTTCAAAATAAAGTATTATTAATTTTTATGTTCACTTGTCATCAATTGTAATTACCAAAAAAATATATTTCTATATAAAAATCAAAATTTCTGTATCGTTTGTCATTATAAATTTAAAAGAATTAACAAACAACATTCAATTCAATTAATTTTATTTAATATATAACATTATTATAATAAATAATAAATAACATTAACTTCAATTAATTTAATCTTAACCCTTAACTGGTATCGTAATTTGAGGGTCAAAAATCAAAAGTTAATTTTTAAAAACATTAACTGATATCGTGGGGTCATTTTTGACCCTCAAAATACCAGTTAAAGATTATCTTAACTTTAACTGAGTTAATTTTTTGTTCATGCAACTTTTAACTTATCTAAATTAATTTTATAAGCAATTAATTTTAACTTAAGTTAAGTTACTAATAAGTTACTTAATTTAAGTAACTTAAGTTACTTAACTTAAATTAAGTTACTAATAAGTTACTTAACTTAAGTTACTTAAGTTACTTAACTTAAGTTACTAAAGTTAAGTTACTTAATAATTAGTTTTAAAAAATCATTAATTTACTCAACCCTGAAAAAAACACAAAAATTTAAGGTGCTATTCCATTGTCGTATAAATGTATCGCGATGTATATATGTGATATACATATCGAATCCGTGAGCTATCAGAATCAAGGTTACACGTCAGATGCAACATGCAACGCGTGGCATTGATTCCGATATTACACGTTACGCGATGGAGCCTCTTGACGTGTTTACGAGAGTACGTACATTAAGTGTCGCCGCGTCATAATGAGGTCAATACACTCGTTGTTGTTGCATTACGCGCCATAAGATCAATTATGCGCTTCACTATTAGTCTAAGTACCTGGCATTCGATGCACTTGTGCACACACCGAGAAAAAGAGTCATCGCATATTGGTTTCACGAAATAAAGACGCGCAGGAAAAGGCGATAATTGTACTATGCGTTTTGCACATTCATTATCTTTTCTACATGAATGCGACTGATAATTATCAGTCACGTTATTAGTAAAAATAGAAGAAAATAATAATGAAAAAAATAGTTAATTATATACAACTGTTTTTTTTTATTATCATTTTTTTATATCTTTTCTTCTTATAAATTTAATGGTTTTTCAATCTCGATTTCAATTATTAAAATAATCTAAGACCGCAATCAAAATAGCAAATCCGCGACATGCATCATAGTTTTGCATTACGTGATAGAAAAATAAGAATAATACATTACACGTCAACATAAATCGATTCTAATTAATTGCCACATGGCGCAGTTATCTTATTGTAATATGAAAAAAAACAGAATAATAAAATTAACATTTTCATTCCTGAGTTAAAATTTTTCGACTTCAATCTAATATTTATACTTCGGATCATTTTATTTTAAAACTAATTTAATCTATAATATTGTCCTACAATTTTTTCTTTCTTCTATAAGTAGAAAACTGTTCGTTCATTGAACTGAGAAAAAAGTTGTTAACTTGACTAAATCGTTTAACTAATTACTATTTTGTTAACTGAACATATGCAAATGTATTTAAATTAAATACAACACATTAAATTTAACATAACGTGTTTTGACTTAAATACTTATATATATGTTCAATTAATGAAATAATAATTAGTTGAACGAGTTAGTCAAGTTAACAACTTTCTTTCTCAGTGTGCCTATTTCAGGTACAAAAGAGAAATTTAATACAAGATAATTCTTATATAAAAGAAATTTATTAAAATTCAGGATTGAGTAAGTTAATGATTTTTTTAAATTAAGTTAAGTTAAAATTGCTTATAAAATTAATTCAGTTAAGTTTAAAGTTTTATTAACAAAAAATTAACTCACAGTTAAAGTTAAGTTAAAATTAAATTAACTGAAGTTAAATCAAGTTAATTTTAAAAAATATTATTTATATTAAATTAGAATTTTGTTTGTCAATTCTTGTAAAATATATAATAACACATGACAAAAAAATTTTGATTTTTATATAAAAATATATTTTTTGGTAATTACAATTGATGACAAGTGAAGATAAAAATTAATAATATTTTAATTTAAAAATAATTCGTTTATATAACTTATAAAAGAAACAAAATAATGGTATTCAGAGATAAAAAAAATTTTATTTTATTTCGAGGTCACTTCGAAAATTAAAAAAAAAAGCGCATTTTCACTATTATTACGAAAACTATCTTATCTGAAAATTGCTAGAAAATGTTCTACCCAGCAATTAGTTTATCTGAACGATAAACACAAAATAACTGGAATAAGGCAGATAAACTCAGCGAAGTATTGCAAAAGTGTTCAGTGCCAGTGTGTCCCATCACATCTCGGCAGAGTTTCGCCGAGCGATTACGCGAGGAATTTAATGCGCTTTGCGATTATTGCTCTCGCGCGCGAGATGATCGTAAAAATAAAACGCAGAAATGGCGCGCGGCTTGGTCCAAAGATAAAAATCTCGGATCGCGGTTTGCCTTTCCCTTACGCGAGAATTGCCGCGAAAAGACGGTAATTTTCTCTCTCTCTTTCGCTCCATCGCATTTCGATCCATATAAATTCCTACGCCCTTAATAGTACACGTGCCACATATGAAAGGCGACCCCGAGTAACGTTTTATATCTCGCACGCTATGTAATGAATCGTATAGATCGAAATCAATCAATGACTACAATAGAAATAAATAAATGTTTATACGTTACACAGTAAAATTCCGTGCACATACTTGTAATATTATCCAGTGATAAGAAAAAAATTGCGTTTTACTCACCATGCATTTTTATATTGTACGGAAACGATGGTTTTGTTCACATTCCTTGCAAAAACATGTTTTTTGTGACATAAATATATCATATGCAGTGACAATTTATTTAGTATAGTATATTATTTATACATGGGATATGTGTGTACGAAGATCATTAATTTTGTACGTAATCGAATTAGCAGGAAATATCCTTCAAATATTATTACTAGAATTACCATAAAGATTGCAGCAGAGGATTCTGTCATTATGGCAGAAGACAGTTCATAAATCACATTATTTAAATAAGTAATCAAGTCGCAACTATACCTTGTATAGTATAGATAAGATGCAGATAATTACATGATCGTTTCTTAGTTTAGAAACTGTTTGCTGACAATAAGTTATGGAGAGAATAGAAAAAATAAATCCTTTCTCTCCTTATACACAAAGTACGATCACGAATACTAATATTATAAATAAACGTAACTAATTTTTATACATACAAAATAATATGTTACAAAATAATATTATAAAGAGAAAAATATGAGATAAATAAATCTATAATTAAATAAAAAATAAGTATAAATAAATAAATAATTAAATTTAAAAAATTAAAAAATTAAATTTAAAAAAATATATAAATTAAAAAAATATATAAACAAATATATAATTAAATAAAAAATAAGTAAATAAATAATTAAATTTGAAAAATTAAAAAATCAAATTAAAAAAAATAAGAAACAAAAATTGAATAAACAAATAAATGTATAAAATTGAACGTAATATTTTTGCACGAAAATATTTAAAACATTTTTCTAAAGTTCACATATACGCTTCTCGTAATCATTTAATTTTGATATTACGCGTGTTTTCCTCTCGTTCATTTAATTTGATTTTATTATCTCACAGAAATCCGACATGGTGGAAGAGACGGTCCGGTTTGGAACGCGGGTTAACGGTGATAGCCGTTTCCGGATTCCTCTTGTGCATCGCTTTGGCCGTGGCGCTCGGAATTTTGGCGTCCAACAGGACATGCAACACTACATCGAGACCCGGTAAGAGCACTTACTTTTACAGCAACCCACAATGCAACTCGGACCGCTCGTGCACGCATGTTGCAAGTACAATGGTTATTCGAGAAACGTGGAAATAAAACTCACAGCCATTTTCCTTCGAGATTTGTGTTGAAACTTCACACACGTATATGTGGCTTTGAATGAATTGCCTGAATTTTTTTTATCCCGAAATTTCATTAGAAACACTCAATGTTCGTTTTTGTTGTGCGCTTTGTATGTACGAGTAGTGTAAGTCATCGGAAATCGAACAAAAATATCTTTAGTATTTTTAATCAGTTTAAATGTTTAAAGGAAAGAATATACGAAATTTTTAGATAATTCTGAACAGGGTTGGGTAAGTTAATAATTTTTTGAAACTAAGTTAAAGTTAATTGTTTATAAAATTAATTTAATTAAGTTAAAAGTTGCATGAACAAAAAATTAACTCAATTAAAGTTAAGATTAAATTAACTGAAGTTAAATTAAAAGTTATTTTTAAAAACATTAGTTATATATTAAATTAGAATTTTGTTTGTTAATTCTTTTAAAATTTATAATAACAAAGAAATTTTGATTTTTATATAGAAATATATTTTTTGGCAATTACAATTGATAACAAATAAACATAAAAACTAATAATACTTTAATTTAAAAATAATACGTTTATAAAAAAAACCATAATGGTATTCAGAAATTTTAAAAATTTAACTTAAAAAAAAAATTAATAAGTTTGAAGTCAAAAATAACCAGTTGAAGTTAAAAATTAATATATTTTAAATTAACTAAGCTTATTTAACTTTTTTAACTTTTAATTAATTAACTAGTTATTACCCAACCCTAATTCTGAATCTGAATATCTCTGACAATCTAATATTTAACGTAAATAAAATTAGATAATTTTACGTGTTCCCTATCTGATGGCTTGCTCTCCAGAAATGAGATTGCAATCTTAATATAATAATGAAGAGAAGATTAGATCTTGCATCTATATACTTCATTTACGAAAGCCTATCACACCATAGGACACTTCTACACAGGACCGGGTTTATCTCGAAACGAATATAAAGTTCCTCTGTGTTTTCGATATAATTTCGATTAAAAAAAATATATAATTCCGACTTATCCTCTTCCACATAATAAAACTTTCGTAACGTTCGCAAATGTTTTGAAGAGGATCTCAAATCTTATCTTCTTCTACTCTGAACCGCGTGCAACTTGCAAACCGATCCTGTGCATGCAATAACAAAGTACTATCATGCATCGACATCCCAAGAGGTGCGTTGTCCCGCGTTGCGACAAAGACGTTACTTAATGTCATCCAATTACATTAATCATTAATGCTTGGAATGAAATTGCTAGGGGCGAGCAAGCCATAATTCTCCGCGACATGACGATAAACTTTTGTAATAGCTTATGCAGTAAGCGTAATAAAAAATTATTAGATACTACATCTTGTAAATCTTCCACGCAATAAACCTTACGACACATATTAAATGACTTAGAAATGATGATATTTTAATATCTCAGAAGAATTTTCCTTTTCTACATAATTAGAATTTTGATTCTATATATTATCTGTCTTTTTAGTAATAAATTGACAGATTGTTTATTTATTAATTTAAGAAATTCTTATTGTGCAGGGAAAAAAACATGAAATATAACGGAACATTTATATATAAAGGAACTTACCTTTGTGTATTCAGGAAGGAGACATTAATGGAAATTTTAATAGTATTTAAATCATACGCCTTTAATTATTGTTTTTAATTATTGTTAGACGTATTATTAACGAATATTTGCCTGTGCATTTTCTTTGATATCTCGAAGAGAAAAATAAAGCAAAAAAAGAGAAAGGAAGATGTTTGCTTTTTTTAATGGCTCAATGCGACAAGCAGCGATTACGTTTACGATCGAAGCCGTTCGGTAACGGTATGTGTCATAAAAAATTTTAATTGTGCGAAAGTAAGGCACGGAATTGCATCGTTGTCGTAAATTTCATTTATATGTCGGCATCTTTTATATGTGTCTTGTATCAAAAGTGTTTTGTCAGCTCGTTAAATGGAAAAAAATGTATGACGTTACGAACATAATTCCGCTGAGTTACTTGAAATCGTTATTTGTTTTCAATATTTATACTTTATCTTGTCATTATTAGAAAAAAATGCTCAGACGTACAGATATTAACAGGAATTTAATAAAGAAAAATCTTAATCAAAATTTAATTCAAAAAGCATTACATATATCTGAAATAATTTTCCTGCAAAAAATTATGCACGCAGAAATATGATTGAAAAAATTTTTACAAAAAAAATAATAATAAATAAATTATTATTAATTAGATTTTTTCTTTTTTCTCTCTATGGAAATAAATTTAAAATATAATGACTTCGACTGCTATTATAATGCAAGTTTATCGTTGAAAAAATACACATCTTAAAATGGTTAGACCTTTCTAAAAGAAGAAGCAACCGAGTTCATGACGTATGATTCTAAGTGACGTCAAAGAAAGAACGGTTCTGACGCATTTTGATATTTCTACTGACAACGAAACACAAAACAATGTTTTGAGAGTTACTCACCCACTGCGTGTGTTTACACCGACGCGATGTAATAAGCAGTTAGGTACACGCGTAATCGCGCGCACCAATTTACAATTCGAGCACTCTCGCTAATATATTTCGATTTGCGTGCGAGTACGTCGATATTACTGACGCATCTTCGCGAGATATTTCCGGAGAGTATGTATTTAAAAAAGTCGACGGGGTACACGAAACTTAGTCAGCACACGCTTGCTTGACGTTGAAAATGTTGCCTTTTCCTACGTGAGCACTTGCTGATTACATACGCAATCCGACGAGGAGTAATAATAGGTGAAGCAGCACGCAAACGTTTATGCAAACGCGTTTGAATCGAGGGAAAACCATGATATTAAAATACGATTATTATCTCCTATAAATATTTAACGTCAATTTCAAAATATAGTAAATCGAAAAGACTCTAGGGTATGCAAACTCTTATTAGCCTGTATCCATCTTGAATTAATACATTTATAATAAACTAAATGTTTATGAATTTATGTTTGGTTCATAAACGTTTTAAAGAAAGAATAAAAAGATCTGCTGTAGAAATAGGAATATAGAAATGTTATAAAATAAATAATTACTCACCAATACGTACAATAGCAGAGTTGTAGTTCTCACAGCATTGATCTAAAAACAAAATATTCAAATTATTTAATACTAAATAAAAAAAAAAAAATATATATATATATATATATATATATATATATATAGAGAGAGAGAGAGAGAGAGAGAGAGAGAAATACTTAAACAAAAATTATATGTTTCTTAAAAGAAATGTTATGATTCAGGTGGTCCAGCAGACTCAATGAAAAAAATTCCCTGACTTTTTCAGATTTTCCAAGACCAGAAATTAATTTTTTCCCTGACTTTTTAGTATTATTTTTTCCAAATATATTATTTGCATATGTCTATATGATAAATCAATTAAATGTTAAATCATGAAATCCTTGAGATATTTTTGTCAATAATGAAAAGGTTCGGAAGTTAAAACAAAAATTTAAATCAATTATACAATTGTGCATTATGCATGATAATCGAAACAAACATGTCACTATAAACTATTTAAATAATCACCTTTTTTATTTATATTATCAAATTTTTTTTAATTTTGTCTCTATCAAACACATTGAAATAAAAGAATACGACAATAAAAATATAAATTAACGAACACGCTGTAGATGAATCGATTTTTAACAACATAAAAAATTAGCGTGCTGGGAGTCAAGGAAAAGTTTATATTTATTTAATAAAAAAATGTCAAATTATTGAGACAAATGTAGAATAATGTAAAAAGATCCAGATAAATAGTAAAATTTCCTGACTCTTTCAATTTCAATTTAAAATCAATTCTTCAATTAATTTCAGGTAGAGTTTGCTTTAGTAGAATTTTAATTTAAGACTTAGTTTTACAAAGATACATGATGGCAAAAATTGAGAACATGTAAAAAATGATGATCTCCCTCAACATTTTTGCCGAGGAAAAATCGTCTCCAAATCATCTTATATTTATTTAATAAAAAATTTCAAATTATTGAGACAAATGTAGAATAATGTGAAAAAATCCAGATAAATGGTAAAATTTCCTGATTTTTTCCTGATAATTCCAGATTTATAAAATTCCCTGACAATGCCCGGCTTTCCAGATTTCCCTGACCGCTATAGACACCCTGTTATATGTATATTTATTTTGCGTACCTCACAGTTGCCCCGTCGTCGCCTGATGCCTCCCCGGGCCTCCTCCTCCTCTCTTGCACTTGTGAAGCACTCGCGGCACTCGCGAAAACGCGAATAATTACGCTCGCCCGACACTTTACGCGGCACTCCCGACGCGCGACACTTTACACGGCACTCCCGACACGACGTATTTCGCGTACATTGCACAATTTAAAAAAAACAACGCAAAAACTAATCGCACGAAGCAACGTTCGTTCGGCACTCGAGAATTTCGCGAACTCGCGAGCAACTTATCGGCAATGCTAATAATCCTGTAACAAATAAAATACATACATTTATTAGAGCAATATTATTATTTTTTGCATTATATAACATACATGATATAAATATATAAGGTAGAATTAAAGATGGATATATCTCGAATCGCAACGCACTCTCGAAAATCGACTGACATTTCATCTTAATATCTATAGATATTATCCTGTTGTCTTTATTTTAGTTTAATTAATTTTTTTTGCTTTTAGAAGGTAGAATTTTTTTTAGAACTCGTGCAAAATTATAAATTTATTTAAATATAAATCCTGCTAATTATTGATAAAGAAAATGCCGTAGAATAAAGTGAGACGTTGTGTGAAGTTCACGTTTTAATTTGTCCAAAGACATTTTCGTTGCTTTAAAGGCCAGAATTATTTGTTTAAACTAGAACTCTGGAACTATTGAAAATAACCAAGAACTCTTAATTATTTATGTTCCACGAAATTAGACCACGCCAGTTTCACACATACAAGATTATTTGTTACACAATTTGTGCTTTAATTTGATTTACATGATTAAAAAAAATATAACTGTTTCGTAAAAATACTATTTAAGATTCTCGCACAATATTATTTCATATTGTATGTAATTTAATTAAATTAAAATTTTTTTAATATATTATGCTATTTTTTAAAAAATTTTACATTTTTGACAGACAAAATGGATGTGATAACCTAATCACAAGCATAAAAATGCATATCATAATTCATATTAATCGCTTGTGAAACAAGAGATTTTTATTCTGTGTGCAATTATGTTTTATCGCAGCTTGTTGTACGCTTCACCCATTCATTAATTTATCGCTTTTACGCATATTTTTCGCACCTGCAACCGCACCTGCATCCGCACGAGAACAGATCCTGTTAATACAGAGATGCTACCGTCCACAGCCGAAGCGTTAAGCGGCTCGGAAACGTCGAGCAATGTCCATGTCATACAGAAAAGCCCGGAATGCGATATATGCTTAACATCTGGATGCGTAAACACAGGTAAGTCGAATATAATATAATAGAACTTGAATTTTCTATTTATTTAGATTTAAATATTTTTGTAGATTAAAATTAAATATCATAAAAAATTAATATATAAATTGTATTTAAACTTTAATTTATTAATTAACTTTAAGAAATAGAAATAAAATTTAAATATATAGTAAATTTCTCATATTTTTCTCTCAATGGAGATTTTATAATTTTATTGCAATTTTATTAGAATAAAATTTGATATCATATTTTTCGAATACATTATAAAATAGTATTCGAAAAATATTTTACTAATACTACACGAGTTGTATTAATTTGCGCGCACCACAGCCGCACAGATACTGAAAAATATGGATCGTAACGTGGAGCCGTGCGATGACTTTTATAAGTTTGCCTGCGGTGGCTTTCTCGAGACCACCATCATTCCTGATGATAAAACCAGCGTAAATGCGTTCTCCGTTATCGTCGACGCCCTTTTGGAACAACTACGGACCAGTATCGAGCAGGAGAGTTCTCCGAATGAGCCGAGACCATTTAGGCTTGCTAAAGATTTTTACAAGGCATGCATGAATAAAAGTAAGCAGCAAGATAATTTTCTTATATAAATCACCAGGTTTATGTAATGGATCTGTTTACGGATATGCATAATAAATATATTATTATATATTATAAATATTATTAATATATTATAAATATACTAATATATTATAAAAATTAATTTACTTAAATTTTATAAAATAAAAAAATAGCTATTGATTTTATAAATATTATAACACTCTATTAAAATAATTTTATTTAAATTTATAAAAAATTAAAACAATGCTATCGATTTAATATATAATTTTTTCATCGCTTTAAAAAAATAAGCGAGAAGAAAATTATATACTACGAGTTTTATAATATTTATATAGATAGCAATTTTTATTTTTTATAAATTCAAATAAAATGATTTTAGTAAAGTTATATAAATAAAAAGAAGAGTTTTTATTTCTTTTTTTAATTTATTCATTCTTTCAGCCGCTATCGAGAAGCGAGGCTTGCAACCGTTATTGGACAATCTCCGAAAACTCGGTGGGTGGCCAGTTCTAGATGGAGAACGATGGAACGAGGGTGACTTTACTTGGAAAGATGCCGTCTACAAATTCCGCAGATTAGGCTATTCCGTTGACTACTTCATCGATTTTGGCGTCAGTGTCGACTTGAAAAATAACTCGAGACGCCTGATCGATGTAAGCACGTATATAACAATTTATACCGGGAAGTGCGAAATTTAAAACAAGCATGGAATGAAGAGAAAAAGATCAGAATTGTTCTAAAATTGAATATATAAAATTTACAATCAATCAAATTGATCATTTTCAGCTTGATCAAGCAGCTCTTGGTCTGTCGCGCGAATATCTGTCGAAGGGTTTCAACGAGAAAATCGTTCAGGCATATTATAAGTATATGGTGGACATTGCTGTGATCCTTGGAGCTGATCCGGACCGAGCTAGTAAAGAACTGAAAGAGTCACTTGAATTTGAAATCAAACTCGCAAATGTAAGTCGCCTTCCAAGAATTTATATAATTATATTAAATATAATCTTTCATATAATTTATATTAATTTTGTACACTTCATATAATTTATGTGCAATTTTAATCGATAGCATTTTTAAAAAATTTCTTATAAATTTAAATAAAATTATTTTAATAGCGATTTTAATATTTATGAAATCAATAGCTATTTTTTATTTTGTAAAAATATAAGTAAATTATTTTTATAATATATTAAATATATTTATACCTATATATATAATATATTAATATATGTAATATATATTAATACATAATAATATATTTATTATCCGTAAACAAATTGCGATCCTTTAATTAAATGAAGAATTTATTAAATAAATGATCCTTCAAGAATGCAAAATGTTTCGAATTAATTATTTTGTGTACTAATTAATATAAACATCAATTTGAGACTAATATCACGATATTAATCACTATATAGATCTCGCTACCTAATGAAAAACGACGCAACGTAACTCTTCTCTACAACCCCATGACCGTGAACCAGCTATCCGCGGCTTATCCTAGCATTCCATGGTGGGAATACTTCAACACAATCTTGGCGCCGCAAGCGCAACTAAGTCAGGACGAAATCGTTATCGTGAACGTACCCAGTTATTTAAAGGCTTTCGAACGACTGATCAGCGAGACGCCAAAGAAGGTGCAGGCAAATTATGTGTTTTGGAGGGCGGCAGCCGCTTCGGTCAGCTATCTAACGGATGATATCCGAAAGAGACAGTTGAAATACACGCTAGAGTTGAATGGCAAAACGGAGAGGGAACCGAGGTGGAAGGAATGTGTAGATATTGTTTCCGGCAGTATGGCGATCAGCGTCGGTTCGATGTACGTGAGAAAATACTTTAAGGAGGACGCGAAGAAGACCGCTCTCGAAATGGTCGAAGATATCAGAGAGGAGTTCACGAAGATTCTGAAGAAGGTGAGAGAATAGGAACGCGAAAGGTTGAACTCGCTGAAAAAAAATTATTAAATTAATAAATTTTTTTTAATACTGCATTATAAATCACTTATTTGTAATAAATATTTAGCTGTTTTGAAAAGAATTTTTTTATATCAAATAATTTTTTTTTTTAAATTAATATTATTAGTTTCAAGTAAGGCAGTATTGGAATAAATATTTGTTCGAATTCAATAAATTCTTTTTTCAGTGCTCTCACAAAATCGCAAATGTGGGAGATGGAAATCTTGAGACTGACACTTTGACACTTATTTATCTAGAAATTAAAATTTGAATAATAAAAAAATCTCTTTTAATTTCCTTTTATCTGAATTGAAATCACGGAAACATATACATGAGAAACTTAATTTACATGCATTTATTTATCAACAAATAAGAATCTAGAGAAATGGACCTCTATTTTATCTATAATTTTTATTATTAAAAAAACAATTCTCTTTAGAGAAATATTAATTCCAGAAATACTTAGACATTGTAATTTGAGCCTCTTCATTAAATTTTTGATGAAATTTTTTAGGTGGAATGGATGGACGAGAAGACTAGAGCAAACGCCTTGGAAAAAGCAGCCGATATGACATCACATATTGCTTATCCAGATGAGTTGCTTGATGACAAAAAGCTAGACGAATTTTACGAGGGACTCGAATTAAACCCCGATAATTATTTAGATAGCATTTTGAACCTGACCATCTTCGGAACGAATTTCTCATTCGGTAGATTGAGAAAACCGGTAAACAAAACCGAATGGATTACTCATGGAAGGCCGGCTGTTGTCAATGCTTTCTACTCATCGATCGAAAATAGTATTCGTAAGTATTTAAATGTAATCAATCTTACGAGCAAATTCATTTAAATTCATCTAAATTCAGTAAATAAATATCAAACACACACACACACACACATATATATATATATCACCTTTTCCAAAAGTGCAATAAACCTTCTTATTAAAAATATTATATTCTTGAATAAAAAATAAAAAAGTTGCATCATATGCAAAATATTATATAAAATTATTGGATATAAAAAATGTAGGTACTTCTTATTTAAAAGCTTATTAGTATACAAATAATTTATGTATTTTGAGTTATTTTTTCGCATAAGTTATTTTAGTCTAAAACATATGATTATAAAATTACATGCAAATGAACGTAGCAATCATTATCTATCGCGCGTATGTCTTGTATCGAATAATTCTCTTGTGATTTTTGTTTCCTAGAATTTCCCGCGGGTATCTTGCAAGGAACATTCTTCAATAATGATCGACCGCGTTACATGAACTACGGCGCCATCGGCTTTGTCATTGGCCATGAGATTACCCATGGTTTCGACGATCAAGGCAGACAGTTCAATAAGGAAGGTAATCTCGTAGATTGGTGGGAGCCGGAGACAAAGGAGCACTATCTCAGACGGGCCGAATGTATAATTTACCAGTATGGAAATTATACTGTGAAAGACGTCGGAATGAACGTAAGGCGAATTTCTTACATGTTTACATACATTTTTACATTAATATCCTTAATCATATTTTCTTGCCAGGTCCTACATTTTCTATATATTTATATATTTCATATATATTTTTATATTTTTTATATTTTTATATTTTTTATATTTTATATTTTATATATATTTTTATATTTTTATATATTTTATATATATATATATATATTTATATATGTATATATTTCTGTATATATATCGTCTATTCTATTTTTAATGCACAGATTCTAATTGGGAAAAGTTATCGATAAAGTATGGGGAAGACTCGTATTTGTGTGTTATACAAGTTCTTTCGTATCTTGTCATAATTATTTCTTTAATGAAACATTCTTTGATGATACTAAACGCAATTGTTATAACATTCTTTATTATTCTATTCGCTGATATTTTTGCCGCATTTGTTATATAAATAAATACTATCGTTTCAAGAATAATTACTATCTGATCATAATTAATTTTTATTTATGCGTATTGCAATACATTGTAAATACTGCTAAAAAAAATTTATATACGATAAGAGTGACGGCAATAAGTAAATTTTTTCAGCGGAAAAAAAAGAAAAAGGACTTTAAAGAAATATATAGTGAATCTAAAAAATATAGTGTTTTTTTCATATCTTTGTCACGATTCTACATAAAGAAAAAATATATTTATAATATTTATAAAATTAAAATAAGCAGAAATCTAATTAATTTTCAACACAATTGACGAATCATTCATTTTATGAACAAAACGCAATAAATTTAAAGCTGTTATTTTTTTTGTTTACATACACATACACAGAGAATTTTCTCTTTTATAAGAATTTCTTTGATTAATATTTATCACAATAAAAAATATTAATACCTATCACAATAGGATATAAAATATGTTCGATTAATTTTACTATGTATGTACATATAAATATTTTTTATTGTTGTATAAATATTAATCAAAGAAAATCTTATAAAATTCTTCCAATTTATATGTATTTATACATATATTTATATATATTTATATATTTATGATTCCATATTGTTCCACGATTATCATGATTTTCACGCAAGATAAACTCTAAGAGAAAATTCTCTTTGTGTACACGAAATAAATTAACAAGACACTAAAGAAAGAATCATTCTCTCCAATGCAATTAGAAAAATCTTTTATATTGCAATATGACCCAGATGTGAAAAAAGCTGGATTATGTAACCCATCTGAAAATTTATTTTCCATTTTTGCAGCTGAACGGAATAAATACCCAAGGCGAGAACATCGCCGATAACGGCGGCATAAAAGAGGCGTATTACGCGTACAAGGAATGGGTGAAACGAAACAAGCCGGAGCAGAGATTGCCGGGTCTGTCGTACAGCCCGGAACAGATGTTCTGGATAAGCGCGGCCAACAGTTGGTGCAGCAAGTACCGACCGGAAGCAATGAAGCTGCGGATCACGACGGGATTCCACAGCCCCGGCGAATTCCGCGTGCGAGGTCCGTTGTCGAACATGGAGGAATTCTCGAGCGACTTTAATTGCCCGGTCGGCTCTAAAATGAATCCCCAGAAGAAGTGCGCCGTATGGTAGATCTCATATATGTCAATGAAAAAAAAATTGGTTCCGCGACCGCTTTTGATCCTGTCAGCTGTAGTTTCAACTGCTTGTTGTTTACCGAAACAACCAAAATATCGTTCGGCGGCTTTATATAGTAAAAGAGAGACATATTTTCGGATGTGCATGACGTTCGTCGTACCTACTTTCCCCGTTTTTGCCCGTTTCTAAAGTCGCGGTTAATATTTATTATTGTGATTTTTCGAATATCAAATATGTCGTAAAATAACTATTTATCAGCTTTTCCGTTGTCAAGTTTCAACGATTTTAGAATGTTTACACTGTCGCTTTTAAGATTGCGCTTTAATGAGCGCAAAAGAGTCGTATCTGCAGGATATAGAAGTAATCCGACTTTTTTCTTTTGCATCCTGAAAAACAGCATCTCATCGTAGCAGAGAATTTTTTATCAGCGATAATACTTGAAGGCGAGAACTGATATTTTTGCAATATGTAGTATGAAATGTGCAAAAATCTATGAAGGCATTCTCCACGAAAAAAATGGAGATTAATGCAAGTGCGCTTTTAAATGCGCAAGATAGATATGAATCGTTTTTGGTAAACAATTTTTATAATAAGCATGAAATACATGTCACGATGCGTGTAAATAGAGAGAAAATGAAATATTTGATTTGAAAGTTAATTAATTCTACTTCTATAAGAAGTTATATAATCGTCTAACTGTTTTTGATGTATAAGGCATAGGATTTCTGTGTTAATGACGATGTCAAAAATTTTAAATTGTTCCATATAAATAGAGTAACTCGTACAGCATTAAGCTAAATTGTCAAACATATTTAAACTTTTTAATTGTTTGTTAAGAATTTTCATAGCTTGTATATTACACAAAAATATGGATAACTTCATTAAGAAGGCGCTATTTATCTGTTTTTTTTTTATTCTTGACAGCTCTGTTAAGTCTTGCTTCCTAGATTAAATTTTCAAATATTCTATATGACATATAGGATAAGTAATAATAACATATACTATACAGTACACAGGATATAATCCGAAAAATTAATATTGAAAAAGAATTAAGAATTTCTTGATAAAGTTATACATTTTCTTAATAAGAATTTTAATACCCGGATAATTTTTCATAACTATTTTACGTTGAGTATTATTTAATAGTATTATCAAATAGCAATTATAAAGAAACTGCAAATTAATAAATATGCATTTACGAAAATAAAGCGCTTAACACAAAAAAAATAATGCGATATGCGCGATTTCTTGTATCTTAAAGTTCTATAGTTGTAGGTTCTAATTCTCAAGTACATCGGATATTTCTTCTCTGAAATTTCATGGATAAAAGAATGCCAAAATAAACATTTTCGATAACTTTGACGGCATTTTTGCAAGAATTATAGAGTTTAATCGAATTAGGAAGCGAATCAAATTATAGAAAATGGATTTTTTAAATCATGTATGTTCGCGAATTTATAAAAGATATTTATGTCGTCGATAAATATGTCGTCTCAGAAGATTTGCATTAGTTTTGGTATCTTTTCTCTATCGAAACAGAAAAAGATAGAAAAAAATTAAATCTTCAAAAGATTAAAGCGCTTTAGCGCTATTTAATTAGATTTGTTATTGATAGCATATGTGTCGCATATCTTTAATAATAAAGTAAATAAGCTACTTTAGGTAAAATGTGGATCTCAACACATTACAAATAGCGAATTAATTTTTCAAAACAAGATAAGCTTGTAATTAAAAATTAAATGAAAACGTCAAATCTTTTCTCTCCGCGTTTCTATTTTTAGAATATAATTTGAAGCGATATTTTACATTAAAAATTATAATGATAGCAAAATTTATATAAAATAATAAGATTTAGGCTCTGATATTAAAAATAATATAGTAAATAACGAGCTAATTAAGAGCCTGGCACGGAAAGCGATGTGCAAATAAAATTTGTCGTTTTCAAATACACAAATTTTATTTGCACACCGCTTTCCGTGCCAGGCTCTTAATTAGCCCATTATTTCCTATATTATTTTAAAATTTATATAATTTTCAAATTATTAATCACATAAATATTGCCATTATTAATCCCTGATTTTCTACGAGCCATATTAGTATGTTGTAATTGTCGGCGTTATAATTGTAAACTTTGACAATTTAAAGCGAAAAATTTTATTTTTCATCTATTTTATATTTGGATAATTATTAGTCGTAGTTACCGTTTCAAAGTACTTAAACAACCTATTATATAATAAGTATTAATCGTAGATACTCGATAAAAATTTTTTTATGCATAATTATATATATATATAACGCAATATAAATTTATATTTCTATATTTTATATATAATTTTATATTGTTATATATGATTATACATAAAAATTATTTTACCGAATATATTTAACAGCAACTGATTGAATTGTTTTTCAGTATATTATGTTTTGCATTCACATATGCGTTACATACTTATAGCATTTTTACATGTTTGCGTTACATCCCTTCCTGCCTTAGATGCATTTCCAGGTATTTATTGCAATTAATGGTCATTTAACTCTTTGATTGCAGATCGTTCAGAAATAAATCATATAATATCGTACGCATATATGTACGAATTATGTAAAATATAAAATATAACACGTCTAAATATTACAGATGAACTATGCATGATGTATATGCAAATTTAACGTCGGACTCAATAATACGTGACGTTTTTAAATCGCTTGTAATTAATGAAGAACTTTAATTAGACGCTGTTAGCAATCAAAGGATTAAATCATCGAGTACAATAAGTTTAAATAAAGAATATATGAGAAATATATATATTTATATATTTCTTTATAAAAGATGTTTGTTGAATATATGTAAAAGTTTAATACAAAAATATCTAATATAAATATCAAACTGTATTTTATGCACTTTCCAAAAAATATCCATACTACTTTCTCTAGCATATATATATATATATATATATATAATATATCATCAGTGAAATTTCAGGCACGCAATTTTTTATTTAATTATGCGCACAACACGAAGATGAAATAATATAAATAACAATAAACACTTAACTATTTCACTTACCTTAGCTGATGAGGTTGAAATGATCACCCGATAATTCAGTGGTCCTGATTGCATCCACAATGTATGTTAAACAGCGAGATAAATATATGAACGATGTGTTTTTGATCGTCCAGTCCTTCCGTACTTCGCACTTCTCAACGAAGGTCACTTGCTGCTCATGTCCAACCTATAATAACACGAATCATATTAATCACGAGAAACAATATATACTTCAATATATATAATATAAAATAAATAATGAAAAAATGCGGCGACAACTTGCATCAATCTATGAATTGCCACTTGTATAAAGAGCAGAATTTTTTATACGTAGGGCATCCACAAAATTTTTTCCAGAAGGCATAATTAAATTATTTTTTTTGTTCTTTTTTAATTTTTAATTTTTTTCTTTTTTGTTATTTTGTTATTTTCAATTTTTTTATTTTATTTTTTTATATTAATATGCAAATAAATTCCAATGTTTATTCAAGAGGAGAGCAAATACTTAATTTTTTTACTGATTTCACCCCCTCCCCTTCCCCTGTGGATGCCCACGCTTGCAGCGAATTAATGCGAATTATTTCTAATATACATACAATAATACAGGTATATATCATCCGATGACAGCATTCGCGATATTTCGCTGAAGATATAAGCTTCTTTATAAGCGTTTCCCTTTTACACGCGTTACGTGCGAGTTCAATGTGATGTTCCACACGAGAGACGCAGAGAGGCGCGAAATCAACTTTGGACGACGCAAAGTATCAAAATCGACGACTGCGCATGCGCAAGTCCGCGCATTCGCGCTCCGCTCCGCACGCATCGAAATATCACCGAATCCTCGTAAATAAATATTCATATCGAAGAACTGTCACACTTACCGATATCACACGACGCCGCTTGACATAATGCACCATCGTACACGTATCTTTTCGCAAGCTGACCGTCCTTTTCGATGCGAAAAAGGCGGAGAGAAACGCGGAGCAGCCACCAACATCGACTTCGAGCGCCTACAATGCTACCAACTTTGACAGATCCAGCCTAAACGCGGACGCGGTGCCAACAGAACACATCCACCAATAGGAGCAGAGAATAGATATCACTCTTCGCTCCTATTGGCGGATACTTTTTTTTGTCCACCAATAGGAGCGGAGAACAATATCCACTCTCCGCTCCTATTGGTGAACGCTTTTTATTTTTGACAGCTCCGTCAGCTGTATTTTTTTGTTCTGTCCCGAGGGATCTGTCATCATGGCGCGGCAGAGCGCGCGAGAAGCGATATTTATTCTGGGCGTGCACGAGTGTGTCGTCGCGTGAGAAATCGCGGAAAATCGACGTGTTTTGACAGCCGAGAACGAAACGGGAGATTCTTTCGCGCCAGCATGGACAAGCCGCCGTACAAATTGAGCAGCGTGTTACGCGGTCACACCGCGGACGTGAGAGCGGTGGCGACCTTCGTCGACGGCTCCGTTGTGTCCGTCTCCAGGGACAAGACCGCGCGTGTCTGGAAACCGACCGGGTTGGTACTTTCTCGATCTTTCTCGGATGCCATTTGTTTGTCTCTAATTTTCCTTCCTACCCTGTTAACTGCCAGAGAAATCAATTTGCTTCTTTCTGAGGTTATACTCCAATTTTGCTGGCTTTCTTTCCAAATAAAGACTATTTAGATTCATTTTCAGTGTGTAGTTGTTGGATAATAAAAGGCCTTGGTAAAACTCAATTTTATAATGCAATAGAAAAATAACACTTTTTCTTGTGACATTAGAAGTTAATTTTATTATATTTTTTTTTTATATATTATATTCATTTTTAAGTCATTATATTTATGTATTTTTTTTATTATATATATATTTATATATTTATTTTTATATATTACTAAGGCCTTATTCCAGAACTTGCTTTAACCAAAGTTCAACTCGTTAAATCTAATCAGGATTGGTTTATAACGAATTAAACTTTGGTTAGAAAGAGTTGTGGAACCTAAAGATTACTCTGAGGACTGATGATAAAAGTCAGATAATAGAACTGTTATACATCAGTCTAAATATTATACTAACATTTAGAATTTTACAGGAAGAGTAATGAGTACGAACAGAGTGCAATATTGTCCGGTCATTCGAATTTTGTCAGCTCAGTATGCGTTATAAATCCATCGGAGAGGAATCCCAAAGGTTATATCATTACTGGCAGCAATGACAATACCATATGTGTCTATGTGGCTGATGAGACAGTACCTGTGCATACAATAACAGCGCATCAGAATACTGTGTGTAATCTGAGGACTGGGAAAAAGGACGACACGTTTCTTTCAAGTTCCTGGGACCTCAGCGCTAAGTTATGGGACATAAAAGATTTGAGTAAACCGCAGTTGGATCTCATAGGTCACACTGCTGCGGTATGGTGTGTGGCGGATTTATTAAGTGGCAATATAGTGACTGGGTCTGCTGATAAGTTGATAATAGTGTGGACAAAAGATGGTTCAGTGGAACATAAATTAACAGGACACACAGACTGTATTCGTGATATAGTTGATATAAAGGAGAACGAATTTTTATCTTGCGCCAACGATGCTACTATTAGGCACTGGAACGCCAAACTCGGAACCTGTTTAAGCACTTATTGCGGACACGAAAATTATATTTACAGTATAGCAGCTATTCCAAATGGCACATACATCTACTCGTCTGGAGAGGATAGAACTGTCAGAGTATGGCATAATATGGAACCGAGTCAAACCATTGTTCTTCCGACACAATCAATATGGTGTATCAAGCTGTTCTCGAATGGTGACATCATCGCTGGAAGCTCCGATGGTGTCATTAGGATATTCTCATGCGACCCCGAACGATACGCGAATTCGGAGGCACTGCAAGCGTTTGAGAAAGAAGTGGCAAGCACCACTCTGAATGCACAGCAAGTAATTGGAGACATCAACAGAAAAGAGTTAGTATCTGATTTTTAAAGATAAAGTAAACATTTGTTCTACTCATATATATCGTTGAATTAATTTTGATTTTCTAATTAGTTTACCAGATTCGAGAGTTCTTCTACAACCTGGCCAACGAGACGGCCAAACAAAAATTGTGAATGAAGGGGATGCGGTTAGAGCATATAGCTGGTCGCAGAGCGAACAACGATGGATAAAAATTGGTGATGTGATGGGTGCATCCGGCGGCACTGCGGCTACATCCGGAAAGCAACTCTACAACGGCATAGAATATGATTATGTTTTTCGGTCGACATACAAGACGGCGTGCCACCTTTAAAACTTCCGTATAACAAAGGCGAAGATCCCTGGCATGTTGCGCAGAAGTTCCTTCATGACAATGATCTCAGTCAATTATTTTTGGATCAGGTATGTATCTTGAATGACATTTAATTTATTATACAATATTGTTTATAACGAATAAATAATTTCTTTCGGTGGCTCTCGTTACTGCTTTATTTGAAAAGATAATTGCGCAAAATCATAAATCTGAATGGAGAAGTGGGAGGTGAAATTATTTGTATACTTCGCTTTAGGTTGCAAATTTCATAGTAAAGAATTCTGAGCCAGCTCCAATTTTGAGTACTGGATCTCAATATGTAGATCCTTTTACAGGAGGAAACAGATATGTTCCTGGATCAGGAACATCATCCAGTACGCCTGATGTTACTGTGCAATCATCGACGTTTAGCTCTTCCAACACGCCTGCACCATCTTCTTATATACCTCACTTGAAGTATTTAAAATTAGAACAAGCAAATATGTCTGCCATTTTCGGTAAGATAATTAGATGTAATATAGAATGTATACAATTACCGTGTATTTCATTTTATGTTTATATTACAGAAAAATTGAAAGAATTAAACGTCAAACAAGAAAGTACGTATAAAATACCGGAGAAAAAATTAGATGCAATAGGAAAACTTATAAACGGTCAAGTGTCTGAGGAAATTAAAGCCACCGCTATTAGTGCGCTAAAGAATCTTTTCAATTGGCCGAACGACACATTGTTTCCTGTGTTAGATATAGCGAGACTCGCTGTACTTCACAAGGAATTAAACGATCAATTGTGTACAGAGGAACTTTTGCCAGTCATACAAAGGCATCTCAGTTCTGATGCGATTTCATCGAATCAAATGCTTACCTTTCGACTGATAGCCAACATGTTCCAACACGAAAAGGGAGAGAAACTTTGTCTTGAGCATCAGGATAAGATATTAGAATCAGTGACGGATCTACACTCCCTTGGAAATAAAAATAATCAAGTACGTTATGTTCAAGTAAATATTAAATCATTATTAAAGTATAATTTTATTGAAATAATTATATTTTAATAATTCATAAAAATAATAAATATAATTAATATATTAAAATAATTAATGAATATGATTGCATAACTTTATGAATTCGAATAATAAATGTTGTTACACTTTTATACAAACTAATCTCGTATGATAGAAGATGCAAATAACGTCAGATTACTGTAAAATATTTTTTTTCAGGTCGCAATATCGACGTACATCTTAAATCTGATTGTAGCATTAAATAAGTATAACGATACGCCTGCCAGAATGAGAACGTTGAAAGTATTATTTGCCGTGTTGCCCCGTTTGAATGAGTCCGAAGCGAAATTCAGGGCTCTGGTTGGAATGGGAACACTATTGTCTGCTACACCAGATCCTAGTGATCGTAACGAATTAATTAACGCTGTACGCCAATCCGAAACCGCTTTGTACATTCTTAGAACTCTGTCAGAAAGTGCGAGTGATCTCAGTACGACAAACAAATTGGTAAACTGTTCTAAGCAGATTATAGATTTGATTATTTAATGCGCTTGCGAATGATTGGAACACGGTTATTCATATACAACTGTTACGAAAATAAGTTTTATTAAATGAAGGAAGAGAATGAAAAGATTATAATTAACTGAAAATGATTATTGCGAAATAAAAGATTTTAAAATGCACTAATATATAATTTTGGTAAATGCAATAAAGGTGAGAAGTAAAAAGTAAGTTTGCACATATATTCACGGTTTGTAGTTTGGTGTTGCTCAATCCCCGTAAAATATAATAAGAAAATAAAATAGATTTTTAACATGATTAATACATATTTAATTATTTAGATATGTACCGCGCGTCCTTCCATGTAATTACAGAATGTACTAAAAAAAGTATTTACGGATTTATATAATAATTATCAATTATACAATTATACTTTTAAGTTTGCAAAAAGAAACAAAAATGTGTTTAGAATATATAATTTTATTTGCGACTTTTAAAAATTGCTTTATATATATTTCTACAAGATTAAACTTTGAAAAAAAAATTTGTTTAATCTATGGCAAATTATTAGCTAATGTGTAATTAAAATGTAATTTCAAAATGATACATTAACAATTTATTCATCTTTAATCCGATTGTTACAATTGATCAAAGTAAAACAAATACTTTTGCAAATATTCAATATACATGTTGACTGTTCTGACAATGAGATTAAGCTTCTGAAAGTATGAAACGATATATGTTTCATACTCTTTCAAGTATTTTTATTCCATATAAAGTAAGCCTAAATATTTTTTAATAACACATTACAAAATATATATATATATATATATATATATATATATATATATATATATATATATATCAGTGACAAAATACAAAGAAAAATTTCTTACACATTTCGGATTTTAATAATTAATTTTATATCAGAAGTACAAAACTAAAAAATGAATTAATTAACATGGTTGGAATATATATATGAATAAAAATAAAAACTGTACGCATTGAGATAAATGGAAACTAAATTAATTATTACTATTACCGTATGGCAGATACAATGTGCGCATGTGCAACGCATATTTGATTTTACATTATCGAATATAAACTCGGAAAATAATAAGAGATGAAAAAGTTACATGTAAATGACCTGCGTGGAATGTAAATGACCTGCTTAAATGACAATCGATTACTTGCAGTTCAGGTAAGATAAGTTGTATTTCTATAATGAAAATTAGTTAAAATATATATACAACGACGAATATAAAATAATAATTTATATATAATATACATAATATTTGATTAAATTTCTCGGGCATCGCGCACCCAGTAAACATACAACAGACAACAGTGTAATAGTAGAACATTGTTATTACATTAACGTCAAATATATATTTCCTTAATTATATATTCAATTTACTCCCGCAGTAGCCAAGAGCTATTAATTACCGTAACTCTTGCAGTTAATTATTACACGAAAAAAATAACATTCACTTGTATACACTCATATTAACTTCAATTATGCTTCAATGAACAATACATATAGTATTACATGAAAAGGTAGTTACAGTGTTACAGGCCATTCTCAGGCTCGTATATATATGGGAATGTGAATGCATTTCTTCTCTTTTCGTTTTTCTTTACAAAAATAACTTTCAATATATATCTGAGATCTGTAAGATAATAAAAACAGTGCTGATTCTCGTACAATTCAGAATCCAATTTAGCGCACGAGTTATATAATACGCAATATACAGCTAGATACAGCGTTTTCATATATGAATGCACAGGCCCAAAAATGTATAGAAAAGTATCTATATAAAAAATCCGAAGAGAGCTAGTGTCGCTCCGATGCCAGCATGTAATGTGCAGGAACCATTATCTTTCAGATTTTTCTATATGTATATGTAGCAATGAAGACGGGTTCTGATTGACAACAAAATCGATTATCGATTATTTGAAGGCGTCACTTTAGTAGTAAAATTTTCATTTCGGGCACAAAGAAAAGAGCGCATTAATCATTGAAAATACTAAACATAGACGAGTTAAAAAGTACTTTGACACACATAGATCTTTAAAAGGTCAACCTTTTTATAGCAAATACTTCAAATATTTATCTATTAATTCATCAATTAATATTTAATATATATTATATTAATATTTAATATATTAATATAATATAAATTAATATAATAACAAATTCTAATTCTTTAAGTTTTCTCTTGTCGATTTGAAAGCTTTGTGTCCCGAATTAAAGAATGACAATAGTAAGCAAGTAACGCCTTCACCTCTATCATTCCGTGTGGCTCGGACATAAGTTTTCCCTAACTCCGCTCCTTATTTCGAAGACGAGCCTGGCTTTTCTCGTGAGCAGGGGAGATTCGGAATGCCCTACAAAAATGCACTGATTTCTAAGATGTGTGTCCTCCCTTAAACTTAAGTTACTGGCATATGTACCTGAGGCGACGTGTGCATATACCTTACGCGCATCTTCGAAGGTCAAAATGCATTGAGGCGATTATCCTTGGCGAGATAAGTCACTTCAGTGTGTGTCGAAAATCTACGTTGAAAATTACTCTCTCTCTCGAATTATATCTTTTACAAACTACCAGATTAGTAAAAGATCTCCGGGAGGGGCGGATTTAAGTGTCTGCTTGAATGCGAAACTTTGAAAACGTTATTCATTTCCGAAAGGAAATATTTCTTAGAAATATCAACAAGAATTTTTTATACGAGTAAACGATTCCACTTTTTACAGAAAATTTCTTGAGGGCCGTTCTTTTATAATTGTAAATCCTGCTCAAATTCGCCCCTATGTACATATAAGACCTCTCTTAATTTTGTACCACGGAAAACTTAGTATACTAAGCGGTGATGTTTACCTTTGACTATACTTGTGATTGCCTGGTGAGAACTCGTCGTTTAGAGATTACTTCGCGTACGAAATATCGCTTGCGGTAAAATAAACACAGCCTCATTAATTGAAGGATTTGGGGGAAGAAGTATTAAAATATATATATATATATATGTTTAGAACTTTTTTCTCTCTCTCTCTCTCTCTCTCTCTCTCACACACATACGCACGTTCTTCATTCTCTCTTTCTCGAGATACGTGTTACGTCACATCTCGTGAATGTACAGTGCCTGATATAATTCTGATATATCTCGCACAGCGTTTACAATCGTACACGTTAAGGGTTTCTCGAAACTTGGAAGCATAACGTCAGAATTGTACAATTATGATTACGACGCAACTGTTGCACGATGAGAAATTACGGAATCTCGTTTATAAAATACTTTCAGTGTCCATTGCTGCCACGACAAGTTAGAAAGGAGAATCGTAAACTTTTTCTTCTTCTTTTACACATTTGGGCATGAAAAGTGGGTATCATATCGTTTAATCTCCCCATAAGTCACAACACGACCGTATCGTATTATCGTGATTCGACGGCGTAACGTAACGTGCCAAATCTTCGTAATCGAAAATTTCAACAAGATAGACAAGCTTCGTCGCTGCAGGTATACTTTGCAGCGCATTATTATTCAACGTGTACGCTGAAAGAGCTAATTGCCTAACAAAGAGAAAATTTTTCTTTAATATATATTTTCTTTCTTTCATATTTATAATCCTCTCATTCCATATTTTAAAATTTTGTCGAGAATTTAACAGCATATTTTGTTTCACTACATTAAACAGTTATGATCGTGTAATAGTATTAAAGCTCAATTAAAAAAAAATTATTTTACAAATTTCTGATCTATTGCAGAGTATAAAGTTACGATGAGTATTGAAAGAGTGCTGCGACGTGCGTATTCTTAAAAGCTCTTTGATTCTTTTAGAATTCAACTTATAACATCCCTAATAGCACAACATATCCGAAAGATATTCAGAGGATATCTAGAGGACATTCGAAACATCTTTTGAACTTCTTCGGGATATGTATGCTGTTAGGGATGTGAATTTAAATTAATTTTATTTTCATGAATCAAGTATACGCCAGGAATGAGAGGCTCGGGAAGAAACGAGAAATTAGAAAGAAGAAAAGTGCCGGCGCGTAGTAACTAACTTTGGATGCCTCTAAAAGCTACATACATCTTGGCATTCGCCGAACGTGTGTCTAACATCCTATTCTATCTGGAGATATACCGGGAGTAGGGAATCGGGTTCTTCGATGCTCGTCTCTCACGTATCAGAATGATAAAGCGCGTTATCGTAATCACCCTTCAATCAGGATTATTCCTCGTAGAAGACGCGTGTGACGGAGGGACCTAAAACTTGTATTGGGTCCCCCCAGGCCCGTCTCATTCGGCCGGAGTGCTCGCCGCCCATCTGTCAAACTCGATTCCCGAATCGGGACTGAGGCCCAGATCGATGGGACTCAGGAAGCTGGGCGCGGGACAATTGCAGGGCCCATCGGGCCGACACGCTCCGATGCACCTCTGATTGTTGTTCTTGTTGTTCTGCCGATCCCCACCTCGATCCCTCAATTCCCTCTCAAAGCTGTGCAACTGTTCCATAAAGTGAAAATTCGGTGCGACGTTGGACTTTCTGCTACGTACTAAGTTGAAAGCGTCGTTCAGGCTAAGACTGCACTTGTGCATGAGATAAGCCACGGTGATCGTGACAGACCGCGATACTCCGGCCAAACAATGAACCAGCACTCCCTTGTCCGAGTTCCGTGCTTCTTCTGAAAAATACAAGTCGCGATTTTAATCCCCACGACCATTAATTCGATCCATTCACGAATATAACACTTGCTTTTTTTTTGTTTTTGTTTTTGTTAAGGCTCCCGACTTCTCGCCGACCATGTTGGAAGTGTTGCAAAGTGTTTCATCGAAATATCTTTTCATTTAAAAAATGGCATCTAAGAATTTTCAGCGCGTGCTCTCTCGCCTCTGACGTCACAATCTAACATGACTGCGGCGAAAATCCAGGAGTCTTAACATACAAAACGTAAGCTTATTTTACAACAGCTTTCTAAAGCTTATACGTGTAATCCAAAGCGATCTCTCGAATAAACTGACAGAAAACTCAGAATAAGCTTATAAACTCATAAAATATAGTTTTTAGTTTTGTTGAAACATTGAGATATATATAATTATTTTTAATAGTCATTATTTAATTAATATATGAGATATAAAATTAATTATGAACTACTGTCAGCTCTAATTATGTTATATTTCCATAGATATAATTAATGTCAATTAATGTGAAAATTGCAATGAAAATATGTTAAAGCGGACAATGCATGTCACGACAAATTTGTGTAAATGACGGTAACAAAGGACAGCCGGATTGCCAACGTTGAAGTGTGTCGGGACAGTCAAAAGTGCCAGACAGGCTCAATAGCAATGCCAAGCCTCGCCATTCAGACTTAAGTATAGCTCTCGGCCTAACCGGACATCCGTTGTTTAATTGTCTAGCACGGCTTGTCCGCCACGTGGGAAAGTTTCTATTTAGGCGAACCTATTTATAAGAATAGCCCCTTTCAGAAGCTGCGCGCGCGAGGACTTTCTTAAACAGGAAATCCTGTTTAAGACGCGTTGTCCGAACTGAGAATTTTTGTCACGGAAAAAGCTCACATCGCGATAAATAAAGTTCGCAAAATTTTTATGCACGTGCAATAAATCAATACGAAGAGAAAATAAGGAAAATATTTTTATTACTAGGAAAAAATATAGAAAAAAATAAGTGCGTCTCGAGATTATGTTTTATATTTATAAAATCTGTCTTATTACTTATCTTTTGACAAATATAATATATGTGTGTCTTTCTTGGGTGAAAAATTAATTTACAATATATATAAATTACGATATTACACAATCGCATCAGAATGTAATTAACTCCGTAATGATGAAATATCCATTCAAGAAAAATGTATGAGATACTAATTAATAATTGAGAATTTTTTCTTTTCGCAAAAAATAGATACTTGCGTTTGCTTTTTTCGCTCTTTTAACGAGTTTTAAGAAAAATACTATTTTTTTCAAACATATTTATAAAGAACGGTTTATTCTTTTTTAATTGTTTTTTAATCGTAAGATTGATTAGAAATAAAAATATACACAATCTATTTCACAACTTCAACGTTGACGTCATTTTCAATAAAAATTGCTCGGGGTCAAGCTGTCACTTACCTATGAACTGAATCGCTTGCGGAAAGAAACTAGCCAAGTTCTGACTCCAATGATCACTTATTGGTATCTGCATGTACTTAATTGAACCAGCGCTTTCAAACACATTTGGCAAATCCGGTGTCACATTGAGTATGTACTGTATCCTGTGTCGCGCTAAAGCTTCGCGATCCTCGCTATTAGCCGCGTTACCGAGATACAAATGAGGTAAAATTTCCACGGGAAAATCTTTATCTTCCTCGGGACCTGAAATATAACACCAGAAATTTAATACCACTATTGACAGAAAATTAATACCGCATTACTATTCTATATTCGTTCTTTGTTGAACTATAATATTCATGAATTGTATTATCTTTTTCACTGCTACGCTTATTGTTACAGATTTCTCGAAAGCAATGGATATGCAATGGAAAATGTTTACACTCACCAACTGAATCGCATGTACTGTCACTGTCCGAATCCGAATAGGACCTAGTCGGCGGAGTGGATATCCGAAGAGATCTAAGGCCCATTAATTCGCCATCATTATTGTCCTGACCTGGGACACACTCATTATTAGCTTGACTTCCTTCACACCATTCTGGATATCTATCTCTGAATGCTCCAAAACCATCTACAAACAAACGTAATAATTATTATTTGTGTAATAATTAATAATCTATCTGAAAATGTTTTAATTCAGTTAAAAATTTTACACAATTATATTTATATAAATATAATAATCTAATATTATACATAAAATTTTCTCTATACTCAAGAATATTAATATAATAATTTTATTTTATATAATTATATAAAAAAAAAATTAATTTCCAAATTTAACATCAATCTGCTAAAATTTTTAATAAATTTGATAATTGAGTCAAAAATGAAACACCGCCTATGCATATAATAACACATTGAAAATAATAATAATTATTTAAAAAACTTAATGTCATTTTTTTCTTGAAAAGGGAAAAATTTGAGTACACACATAAATATAGAATTTTTCATTCTATCATATTTGCCATAAAATAACATTAATTAATTCTTGTTATATTAATATATGTTTAATCAGTAAATTGCATATGCCAAAATAAAACATTGAATGGGTAGGCAGTCTTATCTAGAGCTTGATAAAGACAGCACACAGGGTATAGAATTAAGTGTCTGGTTCTCTACTGGAATGCCTCCCACATAAATCAATATTTCATTCACAACCAGTCTCTGTGCTTCAGCTGTTACTTCTGAAAGCCTTCCACATCACTATTACCATTGCTATCTGTGCATATATTTATGTGTATGTGTGGCAAACAAAATAATAAGGTTGCAGAGTTATAATTAGCAACTATTGTGATATGCAGTTAAATTTAGAAACTTTTATCAAACAAATTGCACAAATTAAATTAATTATTCAAAAAATGACATTATAATATTAATTTGACAATAATCTGAATATTGATATTTGAATCCCAATATTGTATATTCATAACAAGTAATATTGATCATACATAATTTATAATTAATATTGAGATAATATCACAAGCACAATATTGATATTATATATTTTCAAATCTATCTTAATATTAATTGCACTAAAGAACAAAACAATGAAAATATTCTAGTATCAAGCATAAATATAAACTCGATTTCTAAATGTCAAGCTATTCATTGACATCTTGGTAAGACTAATAATAAGAACAAATAATCTTAATAAGAATTGAACTGCCGTCAATGAAGTTGTTGTCATATGTAAAGAAGCATTTCTCACCAATTAAGATGGCAACATTGCCACCACTGCTTTTAAGTCTCCGGCTCAAAACTTGTATTGTTTCACCCTGATGGCCCGCAGGGTCTGTAGAGTCACCGATCAGTACAAATGTTCCTCTACTGTTCTCATCTCCGCACAGAAACACCTCCACTCTGTTTCTCAGGTCTAAGCACCTTATCGTGGACAAGAGGTCCACTTTACCAGCAGCCAGTCTTCGCAACATGATGCTGGGTATGGCCAGAGGTACAGAGCCTCTTATATGAGCATCGGAGAAGTCAGAGTGTGCTCTGCAGTCTAGGATAAGAAGCTTGTTGGGACCATTCTGCGACCTGAGCTCTCTGAACAAGCCTTCCGGACCCAGAAGATCCTCCTCCATCAGCCCACCGTTGCCAGGCATCTTGGTAGCCTTCTCCGTAGTCTTTTATTCTCTCAAAGCGGACAAAATTGACGTCCACAAGAGCGAGTTTCCAAACACACTCAAGTGGTCTCTCTCTCTCTCTCCCTGCAATCACTGAGAATCTCACAAAGATATTCTCGAGCCTCTACGGCAAAGTCCAAGTTCTCTCATTTCTCGACACTGCACTCGATACGCGACGGTGTATCGTCAGGGCGTCATCGTTCTACCACGACGTTCGCTCCGACGACGATCCTCGCTCGTCACCCAGGAAGCTTCCTCTAGGTACCGACACATCGATCCTACGGTACTAACCCACCCAGCGTCAGAGCCGCGTCGTCGCCCGTCCATCGGGAAGTCCGAGGAAGAAGTCGTCAGCCGCGAGTCGTCCTCGGAAGTCCGATGAATGTACATAAAAAAAACGCACACCGAAGGCGCGCGCGCGCGCGCGCGCACTTATACCTCTATGTGTATAACCCGTAGTAAAGGTATATAACACGCTCTCCCTTTTAATAGCGGAGCGCGTCTACTATGTACGATTACAAATACTTTACTGGATACGACGAGAATGGCACTTTGAAGTCGATGATGGCCTCATCCGTCGACGGCGCGCTCCGACGAGTTTCTCACGCGTTGCCATCATTTCCTGCGACACACTACACTACACGTCCTGTACATCCGCGCGCGCGTGTATGAGTGAGTCTACTCCGCCTCCTTCTCCTTCTCGCTCAGAGGAACCGCTTCCCTCTCCGCCGCCGACGCTCTACCCCCACCGCAACCAACTGTCACCGCCGCCGCCGTCGACGCCGCCGCCAGCTCGTCCCGGTTATCGATCTCCTCGTGAATCGAGACGACGCGTTCAATTACGCACGGTCGTCGTGGAATGTTTACGCTCGCCGTGGAAAAAATGCATCCCGCGCGAGCTGTCACTCTCGCCGAACTGTCACCTGTCACCTGTCATTGACAGGTGACGTCACGGATAGAACATCCTCGCTCCTAACTTCAGAGCGTATCTCGAATGGATGGCCTCGCGAGTTCTTCTCAGAAAAATCCGAGGTCCAGAAGATCCCGCGGCGGAGTTCTTGGAAGTTTTTTTGAAGAGGAGGAGGACGCAAGTAGGTTAGAAAAGTTTTGATCCTTTCTCTCTCTCTCTCTCTCTTTCTGTTCGTTTTCCCGATTCCGCTCTCGTTTTCCGCTCGTCGGAGACCACACCTTATCTCTCGAGCGTCCGTCCGTCGAGAGTCAGTCGAGAATGGAGCGAAACGGGCGCTCGGCGCGTCGCGCGAAGAGCGGGAGACGCGACGGGATTGGCCGGCGGTCACGTGGGCCCACGCGGCCGGCCAATCGGCGCGCGCGCTGACGTCAGTTCATTGACAAAAGATGTTTTCATTAACGAGGCGTGGGTAGTGGATGTGTTCGGGGGTCGACGCTGACTGAGCCGTCGTTGAAGCGGCTCGAAGTGGCCCCGCACGTTGCCGCGCTCTCTCTCTCTCTCTCTCTCTCTCTCTCTCTCTCTCTCTCTCTCTCTCTCTCTCTCTCTCTCTCTCTCTCTCTCTCTCTCTCTCTCTCTCTCTCTCTCTCTCTCTCTCTCTCTCTCTCTCTTCTCTCTCTCTCTCTCTCTCTCTCTCTCTCTCTCTCTCTCTCTCTCTCTCTCTCTCTCTCTCTCTCTCTCTCTCTCTCTCTCTCTCTCTCTCTCTCTCTCTCTCTCTCTCTTTCTCTTCGTCTCTCACGCGTGCGTGGCGCGTATTGTCGCGAGCCGCGCGCGACAAGGAAGGAATCTCCTCGTTGCGCGACGTGCACGCACACTCGCGTGCACGTGCTCCTATCGTCGCCAGAGCCGACGACGACGACTTCGTCGCCTGATCATGGGCGTCCAAGAAGGGGGCTGTGGGAAAAATTAAGCATCTTTCTGTATAAACACTGCGGTATTTATTTGCATATTTATAATATTAAAATAATGAAATATCAAATAAATTGAATTTGGAAAAATTAAGGATGAACGAAAAATTGAAGGGGGCAAGAGGGGGCTCTTGGACAATTATTTGCATATTTAATATTTAAAAAAATGAAAATGTAGAATATAAATTGAATTTAGAAAATTAAGGAAGAACTAAAAATAAGGAACCAAAAAATTAATTATTTTCCCGCGTCAACGCGGGAGATCGATTACTTCCCTACCTCTCGAACTATCGATAGAAATCGATATCGTTACTTTTCGCCTGTCATCGATTTACCGGATGTATACGCGACTGCTGCTGCATTCATGTCGAACCGTATTCGGACATCTCGCTATTGGAACGTCCAGCCTGACAGTGTTATCCGGGATTTATTTAGGTACATTGTGCACATTATTTTATTTTCCACGAATAATGAGTTTTAACGATGTGTCTTTTTCGGACGCTAATTGAATCGATAAGCCGCGATATCGCCTGTTATACATATATACACACGATTGTGTAATGATATTGACGTTTCTCGCGTAGTACGCCTAAAGCTCATGCTGCGCACGTAATACTATATACTCGGTAACGATTTCCCATTTGTATGACAAAACAATGACCTCACGATCAATCCTGGTTCTCTTGCCAGCGGAAGAGTGCATATACATGCTTTTAATGTAAGTTTATACACACACATATATTTTTTAAATGTAGATATGCATGTATGAATTTTAGAATATTTCTACTCAATAATATATGCATATTATATATAATATATTTTTTTTATATATTCTATTTATATATTTTATTCGTTTATATATGTATATTCCGTGCTCTTAACATTATTAATTATTGTACCATGAAATGGTTGTAACATAAAATTTTGCGACATTTATGCATTATAAATTTTAGGTTCTAACCATTTCATGACACAATAATTAATATACAAGACTAGGAACATGAAATTATATGAAATAGAAACAATTATTTATCAAATGAAAAAATAAGGAAACACGATATATACATATAGAGCAAAGTAATTTAAAAAAAAGAAAAAGCTTCAACACTGAAAAAAAAATTTGTTAACTTGACTAAATCTTTTAACTAAATTACTATTTTATTAATTAAACATATATTAGTATTTAAATCAAATATACGTTTTTTGTTAGATTTAATATGTATTTAATTTAAATATTTTTATATGCTCAATTAACAAAATAATATTTAGTTGAAAGGTTTTGTATAAAATATCTAGTACTTTTTTGTGATAATGGTGATATTTATATAATAATCAAATGAATAAAAAATATCGATACTATATACAAATGATCCATTAATCCATGCGTTGCAGCATATTATTAATTGAAATGTGTTACAATATTACAATATATTATCCACGAATACATTGTCTCTGACATATAAATATAAAGTAATGTTATAAATTGCAGTAAAATGTCAGATCCTAATTATTTAAACTTTATTCTTCATTATTACGAAATTACGTACCGATAATTATAATAAACACGTTAGATACACACGTGTGATATTTCTCTTGTTGAAAACCGAAATAATTAATTTGTAATAAAATTATCCAACTGCGTTACAGTTATATTATGTGTTATAATCGCGAGAGAAAAAATGCAGAATCGTCGTTATTGATTAACAGGTAGATTTTATAATAGACTTTTATTTTTGGGATGAAAATTAAATTAATATTTTCGCACAAAAAATTACGGATAAATAAATCTCGCATATAATCAAGTTTTAACGAAGAAAAAATCTCTCAATATCTTTGACGAGAGAAATATCGCTTTATTCATCCCACATACATCTCTTCTGATCACGTATACAATCTCTAAGGACAATTCCAATGTTTGCTATTATCTAAATAAAATTATATAGATGAAACTTTGGCATCATCTTATCTTATATAATAATAAAAATATGTATTATTTATATCTGCATCTTAGATGAAAAAAGTATTATCTTTACTAAATTAATCTAGAATAATTTTTATATATTTTTACTTAGAATCATATACATATATTAATAATAAATATATATTTTTATACACTCTTATAACTTACATTTTTTTGTAACTACGTTTACATAAGCTGTCTTAAAAATTGTTATCCAGAAAATTATCTAGATATTTAATTATTTAGATATATTTAAAACAAAATCATTTTTACTTTATATCTAAGAATTTACATATTTTTATTTCATATCTTTATCCAGCTAATTTTAAAATCATCTAAACACAACCGAACAATTCTAAGATCTCGATTTTCAGATAATTTTGGTTTAGAATCATAGCACATAAAATACTTAAATAGTAGAAATTTAAGTAGTAAGCGACAAAAATTTATAAATAAAAATATGAATATCTACATATATTTTTATACTCCTTTTATAATTCATTTTTTTTATATAACTATGTGTTTACATAAAAGCAGGCTTAAAAATTATCTAGATATTTAATTATTTCGATTTACCTATTTAAAGAAAATCATTCCCCTCTTCTAAGATAAATTTCCATATTCTTATCTCCCAGCTTTACCCAGCTAATTTTCAAGTCATCTAAGCACAACCGAACAATTCTAAGATCTCGACTTTCAGATAATTTTGGTTTAGAATCATAGCACATAAAAATACTTAAATAATAGAAATTTAAGCAGTAAACGATAAAAATTTATAAATAAAAATACCTACATATATTTTTTATAATTCAATTTTTTTATAATTATATGTTTACATAAAAGCAGGCTTAAAAATTATGATCTAAAAAATTATCTAGATATTTAATTATTTCGATATACCTATTTAAAAGAAAATCATTCCTCTCCTCTAAGATGAATTTCCATATTTTTATCTCCCATCTTTACCCAGCTAATTTTTAAATCATCTAAGCATACAACCGGGCGATTCTAAGGGCTCGACTTTCAGATAATTTTGGTTTAGAATCATAGCACATAAAATACTTAAATAGTAGAAATTTAAGCAGTAAATGATAAAAATTTATAAATAAAAAATACCTACATATATTTTTATACTCCTTTTATAATTCAATTTTTTTTATGATCTAAAAATTATCTAGATATTTAATTATTTCGATATACCTATTTAAAAAAAAATCATCCTCTCCTCTAAGATGAATTTCCATATTCCTATCTCCCATCTTTACCCAGCTAATTTTCAAATCATCTAAGCACAACCGAACAATTCTAAGATCTCGACTTTCAGATAATTTTGGTTTAGAATCATAGCACATAAAATACTGATAAAAATTTATAAATAAAAAATACCTACATATATTTTTATACTCCTTTTATAATTCAATTTTTTTTTATGATCGAAAAAATTATCTAGATATTTAATTATTCCGATATACCTATTTAAAAGAAAATCATTCCTCTCCTCTAAGATAAATTTTCATATTCCTATCTCCCATCTTTACCCAGCTAATTTCCAAGTCATCTAAGCATACAACCGGGCGATTCTAAGGGCTCGAGGTAAAGCACGCATAGCAGGACGTGCCGTCGAATGATACGGCCTTGGCCCTTGCAGTTTACGCGAAGCCTGTCCTCCGTTCATCGCGCTCAACTCGGCTGCCCCGTTCGCTCACTCATCCATTCTCTCTCTCTCACCCCTCTGGCAAGAGGGGACGACAGCCTATCAGACGGCCGTGCCAGGCGTGGGTCGGCATTCCATTCATTTGGGCGGCTGTCGTTGAAGATTTTCGCGTTCGATCGCGCGCCCGTCAGCTATAGTATATATATACATATACAGACCCGCTTTATCCCCTTCGTTAGGAAGGGGTTGAGGGTGGGGGGTGGGGTGGAGAGGGGAGGGGAATTGCGAGGGTTGAAAGAGAGAACGCAACGTGGTAGGGGTGGAATGAAGGCTGCAAGGCGCGTTGTTGAGGGTGAGAGAGAGGAAAATGGGGCAGAGGGAGAAAGAGAGTTTCTCTCGTTCTTCCGCGCGCGCGCGCGCGCATCCCCTTCGTCCTCCCTTCATCCCCCTTCATCCCCCTCCGCCTCCATCCACGTTTGGCCCTAACGTCAATAATGCCCAGAGGTTGCGGAGGCTTTAACGCCGGTTAAAGTAGACGAGAAAAGGATTCTCGTGTGCCTGCTCGAGGGGGTCGCAATCGGGAAAAAAGCCTTTTCCCGAATCTATATACATATATATATATATATATATATATATATACATATATATATATATATATCGCTATCCTATATATATCTCTCTATCTATCTCTCTCTTCTATCTCTCCTCTCTCTAATATTCTATCTCTACTCTCTATCTCTTCTC